GCTCCCACTATTTCACTATCGTGAATAGTTCTCTGGAACCTTCAAAGAATGGGTAATACCTTCTTACTTTCTTATGTTGGAGGATCCACCTGGTGGTAACCACAAAAATAATAAGTAGATATTACACACTCAAATCTGGCTCTTGATACCAATTGTTTCGGAATACGGCTATCGGATAGAGCAAAATCGTAACTGATAATTTGAGAAAATAAAGATAAAGAAGACATAAATTTTACGTGGAAAACCCCTAAATAATATAGGGTAAAAACCACAGACAAAGGTAGAAGAATTTCACTATGAGAAAATAGGAATTACAACTTCTCTCGGTCTAACAAGGAGAAAACATTAACAATTCTCTCTTGATAAAAATGAGAAAACAACTCTCAAGAAAACTCTCTAAATTCTCTATTATTGGGAGAAAGCTAGAATGATTTGGGATGTTTTGAAGCTAAATGGGTTAGGATATTTATAGTTAAAGCTTAAGGACTAATATTGTAAATACCCTAAAGTTTAAGGACTAAATGAGCAATTTTCTCATTACCATTTTTTTCAACAAAATCAAGTTGTGAATCTTGAATTATCCATTGCACCTTTCGATGTATCAATGCTTGCTACTTTCGGTGCAAGTTGTTGCACCAATATTCAACAAGAGGAACACTGCTGTTAACGCATTAGCCCAAGAGAGATTACACAGTCTTACTCCTTCCATTTGATGTAAGGTTGATGAATAAGCTTAGCTCTTGGTCAAGTTCACAAATTTCCAGGTATATTATTATGTCGAGCCTGATTTTTTTTTTGTAGGGAGAACTGCTAGTCGCTTGTTCTTGCCTGGTAGTTAGTGATACGAGCTGTGTTGTATGGTGCATGCGTTATACTATTGTCATTATCCCTTGGCAGCTAAGTTTTAAATCCCTGATCTGGATAAGTTCATTAGTGGTGAAGTGGTATGAGTATAATTGGTGATATCCTGAAATTGATGCGACTCTGCTAAAAATGATGTTTTTTCTTCTGCTTTAAATTTATTTGAATTGGACATGGGAAGTAAGATTAAGCTTTTAAATAGTTTAATTCGAGCATACTTGAGGGCAAGTATGAGACAAGTGAGGGGGAATTTGATGAGTGCTTGATATTGACACTTTTTATTTGGTAATTTCCATGTTTTAAGAATTTTTCACTACTAAATTGGGTTGTTTTTTTTTTTACAGTAATTAGCTTACTGGAATTGGTAGCAAAATGATGTATTTTGCACCTGCAAAAGGATGTATTTTGCACCTTTTTTTATTTTACTAGTCATGGCTGAAGGCATGGGCACGACGTTGGGCACGATGCGGGGCTGACATGGCAGTATCTAGAAGAAAATAGAAGCAAGTTCGCTGAGCACGATTTTGGAGAGAGATTTTAGGATTTTCAATTTCTTTTAATTGATTTTAAAACATTTGAATTGAAATTATCACTTATGATTATTTAGGATTTTTATTTTGAATTATCTGTGTTATTTTTAGGAAATCACAAGCCAATAAATTCCCTTGTATAGGTAAGGTTGAAACAACCTATGAATTACTTGGTTTTTGCATTTTTATTTGTCAATAGAAGTTTCTTTTCTTTTCTTACTTTCTTTATTTTCAAATCATTTTTATTTTACAAACTATGCTAAGTATGATCAATCATATCGTGCTTAGATAATTTCTTTTAAGCCGAGAGCTAGTACAAATCAATTCCATGCGTGATAATTAAACATCGCTTAAATCCCTTTGGGATACATTTTCGTCTTTCTAGTTAAATAGTTTGGCAATTGGTCTTACTACAATGTTAAACATTTTTCAAATCAAAAAGAGTTTGTTGGTTTGGATATCGTTTAATTATACAGTTGGGAGGAAGGATCGGCCCGTGACAATTCGACTTCCTTTGAACACTCTTAGCGGCGGTCCGCTAAGGAAAGACGAGATCGGATTTGATTCTCGACGAGACAATATATCAGAGTCGGGCCTTTCCAGTTTAAATCTGATTGTTTTAACAGCAATAGATGTGGTTAATCCACTAAAAAATCATCTTTGGAAGATAGACTTGAGAAAATCAGTTACATGAGAGAATGACAAGTTACAATGGTTTGGGTCTTGTAGACTGTAACCGACATAAATTACGGAGCAAAAATCCTTTTCAATGAACGTAATAATTGAATCAAGCTAGCTCGAGGCGATTTTCATTTGTTTGTGATTCCTAACTTTATTTCTTTTCTTTTCTTATTTACTGTTTTTCGCAATTTAATTTTGAATTTATTCTTTTTAATTTACTTTCTTTCTTCTCATCTAAATCATGCCTACCCTTTTTTTTTTTTTTAATTACTACTTCTGAATCTGAACTCAAAATTTATTTATGCAGAAATTCTATATTTTTCCTGTGAATCGACCCTCTTTCTATACTACACTATTTATGTTTAAAGATGATTTATTTATTATTTTTGACTAGTAAACAACGCTTGTCAACTTTGACTTTCTGTCAGTCGCCCTGTAATACAATCCTGCTCACGCATTCATAACAATTTGTCACTATTGAACATTTATGAAAAAGGATATTCTCTTAGAGAGTTTGAGAATTAGAATTCTAGATCCTAATGAATCCAACAATGAAATTTTGTCCAGCTGAAACCTTTCCTCTGCACTGTCCCATTTCATTATATTATTTTGGGAAGGAACTATTGTCAAAATTCAACCACCTTCTTTCCCCACTCTACCTAGTGTTTGCTAAAACGTATGTCCTCGGATTCAAGTGAGTGTCTCCACAGTTTTTTTTTTTTGAGATTTACATGTATTTGGAGGGTTTTTGGAGGCTCATGTCCCCATACCTATGCTCGGATATGATTAGGTCCGAGTATTTCAAGAAAAATAAAGAGTTGAAACAACATAAAAACTAACTTCATGTTATCCTCATGTATGTTTAAAATGGTACATGCTTACTCTGATGTCTTTATGGATTATTTGCTCCTTTCCTAGAAGTTCATATAAACTCAAAAGCACTAATGTGGTTCTAGTTTGCTTTAATTTCTTGATATTTATATTATATTATATCATTTTTAAAAGCTGTTCTTCTGAACTTTCCAGGTTCTTTCCATGAAATTAACAGCATTTCTTTCGACCTAAAATGCATACTTTCAACCTTTAATGCAGCTTTTTACGCTTGTTGAAGTTATATTGACTTTGAATATATAAATGTTCCAGGATGCCTGATGCAGAAACTGAGACCAATCCCATTGACCGTATACTGTTGCTCATTTACTCTTCCATCGGCTTCTGGAGTCGTCGAGAAAGTATACCGAGACACCTGAATCACCTGCTTCCGCAAAGTTCTCTAGTTAAACAAAATCATGATTTCACCGATGGGTTGCATATCAGACAATTCACAAGTTAAACAAAATCTTTCACAACGGGTATCAGAGGTTCTTTCCCCATTGATGGATTCCCATCATCTGGATCAATTTGACAGCCATTGCTTAGATACTTGTGAGAACGCATCAACCTATGGGCCTGCAGATGGTGGTGCAGCTGAGGTTGAGGCCTCTCAATGAAATCTGATGAAATTCTTCTAAAGGTAATTTCTCCATTTATCATTTTCTATGACTGTTAATTGCCTGCTTTCAGTTATTTTACAGATTTACCGGTAATTCCAAAAGGTATTTCTTTTTTGTCAGCTGAGTTGATCATCTCAAGCTCTATCATGGAGCCATCAAAACCAGCTTTAGCTTAACAGGTGGCAAGACCTGGAGCCTTAAAACACTTATCATTTCAAGACTCCGTCGACATTTTTTATCTGCATCTGTGCACAAAAACTGTTAAGGTGCTTGTGTTTGAAATCTGTATTTATCTGTCGCCTAGAGATTGCGCTGTCTGTCTATCCTCTGACGTACTCCCTGGAGACAACTTGTTTAAGTGTGTCATGTCATCTAATCTTAAACCTAGCTATATATTCCACATTCTCAACTCACAGTCGATAAGTCTTGGTAGATGGATATATTTCCACACTTCCTACGTTACTCGGATTTGGTTAGTTTCCGATATAGGTATTGTCGTTCGAGGATATGAGATCTAGTATGTTTAAACGCTCAAGATTTTCTAATTTATGGATCTGAACAATATCTATATTATATCAAATTATTAAAAAAGTTGAAAGTAACATCTACTTTATGAAAATATAAGATAAACGTCATGGGTATGTACCGATAACGCCTGGGCTTCAGGAAATACATGGATCTATAGTATTCAGATATGTACAATGAATATAGTTAAGCAAGTCATAATACCATCATATCCTTATATTTACTTTTAAATATGTGCCAAAAATAAAGAAGTGCTGGGATGGCATTAGATATGATTGATTAGCCTCACTGCATCCTTGGATCAGCATTAACCTACATAAACTCCCTTTAATCCCTCTGACCGTTACAATAAAGTTAAGATTCTTACTCGTATAAAGTTGACCATTTAAAAAATGTAACATTATGTTCGAGCACCGACTGCAGTAAGATGATCGAGTGTTTATTGTCAAATTAGTTAAGAGTATTTAGAACAAATATTAATTTATAATCACCTTATCTTAATAAAAAAAAATTGTCGTGTGCACTGTGCACACATTAAAATTTCAAGAAAAAAAAACAGATGGTATCTGCCAATTGAATCAAAATCCTTGTGGCTGAAAAGAAAAGGAAGAAAGAAGCTAAGGGGATTACGTTATTTACAGTGCATGTAAATTTCAAACACATAATATCCCACAACTGTGTGTCGGTCACATGCTCCTATTACGAGTTCAAAAAATTGGATTGTCATAAAATATTCCAAAAATTGCATTCATTAATCAAATTTCAGATGATCAATAGGTAGTTCATTACATCTCCATAAACAGGAAGGATAACCTACTAAAGAGAAAAATAACGAAAAACCTATAAAGTTATGCAGAGTAACCCTATCTAATACAACGATAACAAACAGAGTTGGAAGGGAAAAAAAAACCTGAAGTGTGATGTGCTTAAGCCAATCACTCACCAGTGCCTCCCTTGAGAACCACTTGCCTTGTTTTTTGCAAACAAGGCATTCTTGGGTTTTGGACCTTTTGGTAGCTCATGAATGTCCATCACTTGCACAGTTCTTTGCTTTTTGGCTTCAAAAAGACCATACAAATAACCAATCACCATCAAGTGAAGCATTCCAAGATTCTTAAAGAAATTGTGAGAGAAGGGATGAAAGCAAACCATTCTGAGCTTCTTTATAACTTTCTTGAAGCCTTTTCCTTGCAGAAGCCAGCTTCTCGGTGTCGAATTTGCTTTCTTTCTGCTCTTTGTGTCTCTACAAGATCTCCGCAAAGGTTATATTATTCCAACTTGGATTCAAACTATCCAGATTTAGTGAATGCATTTACATCTAATTTGGTATCATAGTTTTCATGCATCTAAAAGATCCTTAGAAGCTGTATCTAAAAATGGCACAGAATTTGTATCCTAATTTAGGGGTTCTAATTTCGCAGTAGTAATAATACCTGCACATTTTGTGGAGGATCTTTATGATGTGAGAGTGGCTTTAACTTCCTTTCAGGTTCTGAATTATTCTTATCTAAGGCACTACTCCCATCTGCCAATTCTCATCCCAAAAAGCATTAAAAAGGAGGAACCTTTTTAAGTTAAAGATCATCATATTTTGTGTCAAATGTGAATATTAAATATGATTTTTTAAAGAAAAAAATAAAGAAATTAAGATCAAATTAAACTTTGAATCAGATTCTGTACTCACTTTGCGGATTTGGAGAGTACACCAAATCAGGAACCTATAGCACAGCAGAATGTTGTAAAGATCAAAGGAAAGAATAATTTTCCAATGACTTCCACGTAAAATATATAATATTATGTATTTTATAATTGATTTTACCTGTTGACCACCATTTTGAGGAAGCTTTTCCTGTGGTGAATCCCCATCTGTTCGCCATACAATAATCATCGTCACTTTTAACTGATTCACATTCACTTTTGAAATATTCTCACAAGAATTGAAAATCTATATGTTCTTTAAGTGTCAAATATAGATACTTTTTCTTTAAGTGTATCTGACATAAATATTTTATCTTTAAAATATTACAATTTCATATTTATACATTTATTACTAGTGTCAAATGCGATCACTAATTTGGATAAATAAAAAGGCAAAGCATTGTAGCTAAGTCTTCTTCATGTTACAGTTTAGTAGTAGATTTACCCATTAGGGCAGCAGATTCAAGTTCTCCAGGCTGATTAACCATTACCCATTTATCTACAATCTCTTTCCATTTCCTGGAAAAAGAAAACAAAGAACCAAATCATATAACTGAGTTCCCTTGAACTGCTCTTTCCAAAACTAAAACAAGAAGATAAAATATTCATACATATATTATATACAATGAAACTATGTCGCTATTATATTGAATATGAATATATATCCGACTACGTATGAAACGTAAGTATTGCACACTAATTCTTGGAGTTAAAATGAAAATTGAAATATTAAAACCTGACAAGTAGCTTCACTATTTTCCTAACTTCATTTGATGAATGCTTCCTAAATTTGTTCACATGTCTCCCAATATCAGTTTCCTGAGATATAACCAAAACATGAAATTAATGGTGATGAATGAAACTGAGGAAAGTTCAATAATAATAATATAAAAAAAGGAATACATTCCGGTTAATTATTACCTTGAGAGCTTGAAATGTTATATCCATATCTGCCAAGCTTTGAAGCAAATCAATCAAAGAATCTTCACACTGTTAAAAGCAACAAAAAAAAATAAAATCGAACTCCATAAAGTATTAAACCATCAATGCAATTGCAAAAGGATTCAAAGACCTGGTCAGGTGCTTCAAGGAGCTCCTTGATTTCAAGAACACTTTTTTGTTCATCATCAAACAAGCCTCCACAGGGGTCCACGTCGACGTCGTCATCTTCATTATCCGATTGAGGTTTTGAAGGTGACCCTTTTCGTCCTTCTCCACCTTTACTTTCATGGAGGCTGCCTTCTTTATTAACTGGAAATCCATTTGATCTCTCACCAAAATCACAGGTTTTACACCCATTAACAATGGAAGTAGCATAGAGTCTCTCCACAATGCCATCTCTCCTTTGCTTCAATTCTTGGCCGTGATCTAAAGAAGCTGCCAGAATTGCTGTATCAATCAATGTCCACACATCAACATCAGCTGTTTCAAGGACTGATCTGAAATCATCCAAATCCATTGCAATCCAATTCAAAAAAAGAAGCTAATGATCTTATTGAAGCTTCAACATAAACAGATCTGGTTGAAAACAAAAAGACCTCAAGCTTGAATTTTGCAAAATTTTCAGCTGCAAACGAATAAAAGAAAGTAAAACAACACGAAAATCGATTCTTTGAAGCCAAAGTGAAATGGGAATTTGTTAGTTATTTGAAGAAAGTTTCAAAGCTTTTGAGTTTGTTAACGGAATTGGATACACCCAAAATGAAGTATAATTTTTATTATTTCTTCTCCTAGACATTTCTAAGCCAATTCTTTTTGGCCATTTGGTTACAATTCATCAAAGTTTTATTTTCTTTACACTTTATGTTCAGATTTTTTTCTTGGATTTTTGTGATTTGGGAGATGAACTAACATGAAGTATGCCAAATATTCCCTTGAGATGAACGACAAGGCATTTTGTTCATTGGGGACAGTATTAGTTTATATATGTATACAGAATGTATCAAATTTTATTAGAATGAAATAATAATAATTGAATTTTATATAAGTATAAACATGACCATTGTATTTTTCATAAAAAGATGACCATTATCAAAAGAGTTAATGTACCATTTTGACCTTGACTCCAGCTTTAATTTATAATTTAGTATCCGACTTGAAACGGCCCAATCCGAGTTTATTATAATCTTATCTGAATTTATTTTTTTAGTTTTTAATTTCAAAAAATAGAATAAAAATAAATGGAAATTTTAAATAAAATAAACCAACTATACAAATCCCTTCCCATCTCTGATTCAAGTAAAAGGAAGACGGGATTCAATGGAAATAGAGGAGGAAGAAAGAGATGGGAAGGGGTGTTATGACTTATGAGTGTATACTTTGAAGGCAAAACAAAAGCGTGTGTAAAGTTTGAAGATCAAAAATAGAATCTCATGAATAGTTGAGTAATTAAATATGTGTTTTATCTACATTTTTTTTAACAGAGTTAATAGTTTAAGACAAATGAGGTAATGATTTGAACTTTAAGGAACAAAATATCCCAGAAAATATTTTAAGATACAACTTGGTACAAATAGTATAATTCAAAGGACAAGGGTACATTTAAGCCTAATGAAAAATAGGTAAAGCAACAATGAAAGCTTGATCTAAGCCGTAATCAAACAAGAACAGTCGCTGACCCATTCTTCTATTTAAATCATAGAATATTTAATATAAAAAAATTATAATAAAAAATAGTAATGATTAGTTGTTATCCGAATTTGGGCGAATCTAATTGAATTCATAAGAATATCATTCCAAGGCCAGCATAGTTTCTCTTTAATATATAAACTGGGAATTTCTGAATTTAGAAGTAAAATGCAAAGGAGGTATATCTCCAGTACCACCACCCATTAAGTTTCAAGTCAACAGTAATACAACAATAGTTCCTTGCATGCATGAGTTCTCATACAGTAGAATGTTGAGGAATTTTCATGGCGATATAAAAGATAAACATGTTACCTTCACTTCCATTCCTCTCTTTTCTCCCACTGCATTTCTATTTCCTGGGTCCTACATCTCTCCATAATCACAAAAAAATGACTTTTCTATGGTATGGTCCAGTTTTACCAAAGTTGATTCCACACTTTCGTATCGACAATTTAACAAATTTCCCTCCAACGATACCTGTTAGTTTCCGTAATCACTGACTAGAATTTCATTTCTCCACGTACAGGCATCACAAACAATCTGAAAGTTCAGATGCAGAAATATTTCATCAAATTTGGCTGTGCAATCAGCAGCTCTACAATCAAACATTTTTCTCCATTGGAAGAAAAAGCACTTACTGGTATATCTAGGCACTGTAAACTTAATTCCCCGAAGTAGCTCTCCGTTGCATTACAAGATCATCAGCAGAGTAATAATCCGCAATCAGGCGGTACATGTATGATGGATTATGCCCTCCACTGTAAGACATGTAGCAATCAGTGATAACTGGGTAGAAAAACTCAGACCATGAAAACCAGGTCTTCTAGAAATGGCTAAACCATCAAAGCCAAAATACATGCAAATATTTTATCAATGTGAATCAGAAAAAGGGATTATGTATTGCATTGCATCCCCACGTTACATCAACTGATCAATAATATTCCAAATGCAGAGAAGTAATTGATTTGGTAACTTGAAATGAAATGGTAAACATCAAACAGATAATGGTAAACATCAACAGATGTCAAATATCAAATATGAGTGGAAAGAACAGAAGTGCTAACTAATGGAACTTTTGAACTCCATAAAGACCAGTTGAACTTACGTATCAGTTATAAAGAGACTAACAAGCTTTGGTGGCACATAATCGAATGTTGGGTTGACAACATGAAGAAGAGGGGCACCAATGCCACTTCACCAAATAGGGACAACAACAGAAACCATGCTATAATCATTGCATCAGCAAGCACTGACACCATCTGGGTGCCTTTAAATTTTTTGGTCATTTCTCTGACCATCCTCAAGTCAGCTGAGTAGCAGGCATTTTATGCAATTTTGTTGATTTATTTGGAATGAAGCTCAATCTCAAGAACTAGATCCTATTATTTTCATTCTTCAAGCCTGAAAACTTAATTTAAAAGTTTACTCTCAAATTAGATGTCTAGATCTAAAGTAAGGAAGTAACAAGGTGAACGTGTTAAGGAAAAAAAAGTGCCTGAAAAAAAGCTAGAAAACAAACACTCAGAAGGTCTTAAGATCCTGACTTACTAATGAATTGACTGGCATGCAATTGTGCAAATCTAGATGAGACATGCAGTACAATTAGATCATTCCCTTGTTAACATGCAACAAAACAAGCACCAATCACCTTGGGCAGATCTGGGTCGCTTAGAGGTAATAATACTTGGGAACTCCACCCCCCCCCCTTTTTTTAAAACAAGTATTGGAAGGCTTACAAGCAAGCATGCTCACAAGGTATGCATGAACCACCAAATATAACGGAAACTGGCAGATAGCAGAACTTACCCACATCTTCCCTTCTCTATTTTTTAAAGCAAAAAGAATATCTTATGGCTAGGCTTCAATTTATGTGTCAAACTCAAACACAAGGATTACACCTCCCACAATCAACCAACATATGCTATTCCCTCTTTACCTCCCTTTACTAGGTATAATAATGCTTCTGCATCACACACTTGGTGCTCAAATCTGTCAGGTAAGTGAGATCTGATGGTGGCTTTTTCCAGGTGTTCTAACCCAAAGCTGAGACCATGGAGATATGGGGAAAAATTTAATCCATGGATCATGGTATCTAATTTATGTATGTATATATGGAAGCTAATAGTTGGGCTGATGCATTGGCTAAAGCAGGTACCAAAAGATCTTCAATGCTTATGGTGTGATAGTAGGTAGTATTACCCTGTACTGCTGTAAAACTGTATCAAACCAACATGTTGTTTGTTTATCTTTGATTCAATATAACTTCAATCTGATCGAGCAAATTAAAAAAAAAATCCTATACGGTGCTAATTCCTATTATAGCCCTCTCAAATTCTATCCTATTAATCACATGCAATGACACCTCAAGCAATCAATATTAACTCATTTAATTAAAAAAAGGAACAACATAAAAAACAAAAATTCATACCATCATAGAGGCATAAATAAGTTCACAAAATGTTAATCTAAGTTGAAGCAGAAAAAAAGGGGTTTCACTTGTTCTTGCACAAAAATGTCTAGAAGTTTGGAGGTCAGGCAGCAATTATGCTGAAGTACCTTGTGACTGCCAGCGAGAACAACAAATGGGACAGCATGCTTCTGAGCAGCAAGAGCGACCATGTTCAGCCCAACAGGTGCTATGACCCCACCATTAGCCATGACAGCATGAGCTCCAACAATAACCTTCATGTTTACAAAATCTCATATGAAGCTCCAACAGTGCCAGAGATCATTAACAATTAGGATGAACTTCACATACCATGTTTACTCGGGAAATCATGGCAAAAACTGCAGAGTCGGTAATTAGTGTAGTCTGTAAACCTCTCGTAACCAATTCTTTTGCAAGAAGATGCCCCTGATACCTAAGTTAACACCAAGTATTAAGGGGAAAAAACAAATATTGTTACAGAAAGGATGTCAAAAGTGTAGTAGCTTAAAAGAAATGTCTTCGTCTTGCAAAACATTTCCGCCACTAGTACAAACCTTGGAGCACCCTCTGCAACAAATACTCGAAATGATCTTTTCTTCTCTTTTGCAGCACAAAGAAATTCCAGCACGGTTCTTGAACTGCCTAAAGTTAATATCACCTCGCTGACAATATGTTGTAAATATTATCAGTAATAGAGTAAGTTAATGTGTGAAATAAATCATAGGTAGAAAACAATGTCAGAACACATTCAGGTCAAAGTGTTTCAAACCTCGACAAATCATGGAAAATAAACAAAATAAACTACTGGAAACGACGCGCATAGATAAGGAAGGTTGGGCATGAGATAGACTGTTCTTTGGGGACTTAAGGAGGGGGAGACAGTAGGAGTCTCTAGTTTAAAGTAAATTCAAATAACCTTAGACTATAATATATAATTTAGTTTACTCAAAAGACTAATCAATGAGTAAGCAGTGTTACGATTCAGAGACAACTAAAGAAAATAGAAAAGCTTCAGTCAGAAAAGATACTTTTGATGTATATGCTCTACTGCTTGCTCAGCAATCTGTTCATGGCAAGTGCTAATGTCTTGAATAAGTTCATTGACTGCTTCAATGACATCATGCTTCAGCTTCCGACTTCTAGAACTTTTGTCGGCAGCTGCAAAGGAAAAAAAACCCTTAAATATAAATACTCAGATAATATATAATAATACTATGAGATTTCATATCACAAGATTATCAGTTATGACTTATGACCATAAGAAGTCAGTTTTGCATAAATCAACACTTTTTCCAGACAATAATCTCAGTGAATATCAGAAAAATTAAAATCTCGTTTCATCAATCGCAATGCAGATAGATCAAGTGTCTGGAGCAAGAGTTCACATTTGCTTTTTCCTTCAGAATCTCCGCCAGAAGAAGAAGTATGAGGGACTGCTGCAGAGTTGGGCACATCCTCAAGTAGTGTTTGCAAGGAAGGTGGACGCAAAGTGCTTCTAGAAGCAGCAGCAATGGCAGCAGCTGATAGTACTGGTTGGTTGTCTCCATCAGCATCATCTTCATCGTCACTTACTGCTGACAAGTTCACTCCAGCCATAGCAGCTGTTGTCAGAGAAAGATCTTCCTCTCTGATAATGTGCAAAACACGCCTCACAACATTACCCACAGCAAGCTCTGCCATCACATGCATACACTATTAACATAGAATACCAAAGCACAAGTATCAACAATTACTAGGAGTTATAGTGCATGTTCGACCCAACTTTCTGAGCAACTTCCCTACTCCAGAAGGACAAATATAGAAAAAAAAGTGCTTACACGAAAATATGTTACCTCGTAACTAAACCGGAAAATAAAAAACTTAAAATTCTGAAAAAAACATCAATGAGAATTGAGAAGCCAATAATTTTATATGGAATTTACAGACAAAGCAAATGTATTACAAGCTATTAGAAATACAATTAATTCAATGCAATGCCTTTTTTTTCTTTCAAAAACTTACTTTAACGTTGCTTTTTATGCAACTTCTTTAGTCGGACTGAACAGGATCATAAAATGTAAGACATCACAAGGAAAAATTATGGGGATAAAATTTTCAGTTCGCATTACAGTTTGGGGGTATACAAAACACTGGCCCATTACTCATTTCCTAGCTAAAAAGACAAACAGAATTGTACGCATAACAACAGTGTCCCCCAAAAAAATTACAATTCTTAGGCATACTCCTATAATTATCAAATGTTTCAATGCTCTAAACCAATATCTGCCAACAGTTTCCTTATAAGCAACTTATAAGCAACAAGGCGTAAGCGAAAACGAAATCAAATACAAACCACAAATTTTCAAAAATAAACAGCAAAACCAAATTAACCCAAAAGGTAAAGGCCGTCATACCGACAGGATTTGCAGCAATTAGTCGTTCTCCAACAACTTTAACCGATTGAATCAAAGCAGCAGCCTGGTTCGTATAAGGCACACGAGTTTGAGAAATCACTGAGCGAAGAAGTTCCGCTGTCTGCTTCGCTGTTGCTTGTGAACCCTCAATCTTACTGCCCAACCACCCCACACAAGCAAAAAAAAAGTTCATTCCTATATTTTTTTTCATTCTAAAATTCATATGAAATGGAAATCAAATGAAATACTTCACCGTTTTTTAAGCTTGTTAAGAAAATCATTGACGAGAGCTTGGGTGTCTGGCATCTTCTTTTATCACCAAAATCCACTTCTTCAAAACGCTACAATCAAACAAGAAAATATAAATTAGAAAAATAATATCCATGTAGTATTTTTTACTAAGAGAAATTGGAAGAAAAAACTGATGTGATTAATTACTTACGGAGAATTAGGGTTTCTTCTGGAGAGTGAATTTCCACGACTGGTTAGTTGTTACTGCTATAAAGCTATTTTTGCCCAACTTCGGTAATTTTATTGTTCTTAAAAAAAGTATACCGTATACCAATAAATTTTCTTCGCTCATTCATTTATATAACTTAATTTTCAATGTACTTAATTATAACATTAATTTTAATTTTACATTTAATTTTATCACTTTATCATTAAATCAGTAATTAAAAGATACACGTTAATAATTATTAACATAATTTGTCACACTAAAATGATATCGTTTTATACATTAAACTTTAGGTATATCGGTTTTGCATTTAACATTTAAGTAATTTATTTTTTTAACATTGCATTTTCTTATTGTCGATGATAACTCATCAATGATTATGTTTTGTAAAAAAAAATTGACACCAAAATCTTTGTATTTCACTTCTATTTCTTATTATAAGATTAGTTTTCCACGAGATCTACTCAAAATTAACGAAATTGAACAAAAAAATCTATTACTTTTAAATGTTTAGAGAGTTCCTTAGATTTATGAGATTCAAATGTGTTTGTTCAAAAATCTAAAATGGTGAGAAGCATCATTTCGAGAATACGAACAACATATATGAAAAGTAGACTCGTCGAATAAATACGTCAAAATTTTAAATAGATTCTCGTCAATTTTAAATGATTTCCTGAAAATCAATCATATAAGAAGAATATGAGTATTAAACGCATTGGCTACATGCAACGGTTGGAAAGTGCAGTGTTAAAAAAATTAATTATTTAAAAAATCAGTAATAAAATTTATATACATTTAAAATTCAGTACTTAAAGCGATGTTTTGGACATTAATAGATGTCACTAAAACAACGTCATTTTAGTGTTGCTTGTCATATCAACAACCATTTATTATTTATCATTTTATTATTGACTTAACGATGGAATAATATAATTGAATCTAAATTAAAATTTAATGTCATGGTTGATAAAATTAAAAAAATTAAGGGTATAAATGGATTTGTTGACCATGGAGGTATCAAGTTGACCAGGCCAATATAACAAGTCTGGTAGGCAGGACCATATAGCAGGTCTCGGATAGACCTTTTAAGAATTGGGCCCGGCACGAAGTTTTTATACATTTGGGTATACTCACTCAACTCTAGGCTTATCCATGGACCAGTCGATTCTAAATAAGTTTCTGCTTAAGTTTGAATTGTTGATTCATACAACACATTAACGTTTTATAGTTAAATTAGGGTTGATCATGAGTCAAATTTGATCAGATTTTTTCTCCATTCAAATTTAATCATAAAAATTAAGTATCATATTCGTGTCTGACTCTCGACTTGGAATTTAGGATGTTTTTTTCTTTCTAAAATTCGATTTAATTTTTTAGGATGATATATGCATTCCATCCTACTCAATCTAATCGAAATATACACGTATAATTATTTTGCATTTATCCCTAAAATATAAGGGATGATTATAACATTATGTCATATCATATTTTTTATTTTAAATCTGAGTTCGATCGATCTCACCATTAAAAAAATTTGACTTAACTCAACCCAAACATACATTTTAAAAAAAAAAATAAATCCTACAACCGCTACACCTTTTTTTCATCTTTGTGTTAGTAGGCGTCAACATTAGTCTTAGTGTTAGCCACTAGTTGTTTGTACTCCTTATTTTCTTTATTTTTATATTGTATGTTTTTTTTTAGTTTTTAATAATTTTTTCTTTATGACACATTTTTATTTTATTTTTATGACACATTTTTCTTAATCTTTTATGACGTGTTTTTCTATATCTTTATGATATATTTTTCTGCCTTTCGATTTTTCTTTATCGGCCATTAGTTTTTTTTGTTTAATGTTATTATTGTTAGCCTTGACGTCGTCGTCTCGATTGATGAAGATGACACTTATTTGTTCTCTTATTGATCTTATATGTTTTGGATCGTTGTATTGGATTTTGATACACGAATTACGTTTATAGATAATTTTCTCGCGATACTCTACTATGGTCTGCGATTATCGATATTTTTTAGTAGTTTTATTCTCTAATGTAGTTCGTTTATCAATGTAATCGGATCTATTCGTATTTATATTTTGATCGAGTTTTTAGGATAAAGTTTTAATATTTTCTTTATATGGTCATTGTATGATCTTAAATGACTAATTTCTCGTGTTATAGATATAAAAAAAATATAATAATCATATGTTTAGTATACGTTTATAATTTTAAAATATTTTTTAATACAATCAGTGGTTTCTATTTGCATAAAATGTAGTTGTATTATTCAATTTTAATTCAAGCTGTATCGAATGAGCATAAGGTGAAAAATGTTGAGTTCAAGCTACGCGACCCCAATCACGATAAAATATTGATAGTATGCCTGCATAGCATGCTTTTATATATAAAAAAGATTATGGAGATTGATGACATTAAGAAGAATAATTATTCGTTTAGTGTAAATGATTTTCAGTAAAACTTGATCCTGAAAGTACAATAAGATGATGAAGATCGAAGGTTGTATTTGATGAGAAGTATTATTACGATGAAGATGTGGAGTTAAACAATGATAGTGATAGAATTGAGAAACCAAATTTTGATAAGGATGATGGATTGCTTGAACTTGTTAAAAGATGAGACATCGGTGAGTCTCATGATGTTTTATTGGTTACGAGCAAAAGAACATGTAAATTTTATTGAGTATTGAGGGTCATGATTCGATGAAAGAACAATAAAATAGAGATAAAAAAGGTTGAAGACACGAATAGATCGGGAGAGGGAACGGTCGTCCTCCTTGACAATTTAAAATGATCATATATTTTAAAAAATTTCTATATATTTCTTATTGAAAATTTATTTTGCTCCATGTAATTTTAGTTCGTCCCTTAAATTTAAATTTGTCCCCAAACATAAAATATTACGTCTGTCTCTGGTTGAAGATAAAGAAAAAAAAATGTCGATTATGATAGTAATAACGAGAGTGATAAAGTGAAGATAAAAAAGATGATAAATAAAGAAAGACAAAAAGAAAGAAAGTTCAAATAGGTAAGTAAAAGATGAAAAAGATGCTCAAATCAAGTGATATCTGTGAAAAGGTAAGTAAAAGATGAAAAAGATGCTCAAATCAAGTGATATCTGTGATAAAAGAATTGTCATTATTTGATGACTTGGGTTCGAGCATCGAGAATGCCAAGGGTGTTAGTGTTCAATGTCGAGAGGTTAAGGGTCGTTTGGTTAACGACATAAGATATTACCTGAGGAATGAAATCTTCATTCCCCCGTTTGGTTGGCCAGTAATCCTATTCTCGGTAATCTTTTATTACCAGCAGTGGATTTTTTGGGGTATATTACCGGAAATGTGATTACCCCATTCTCTTAGGTATTGTTGGATTACCGGCGTTTTGGACTAAAATGCCCTGAATTTTTTTTCAAAAATAGCATTCTTCTGTCGTTGAATAATAAAAATTCTACGAAGGTTGTCCAACAAATTTATCCTTAAACTATTTTAGATTTACAAAAAAAAACTCTAATTAAACTTTTATATAAAGTTCAGGGGTTAAAATAAAATTTTTACCCTTTCATTAAACTTATTTATCTTTTCAATTTTGTAAAAAATTATATAAATTTTATGAATTTAAAATTTTTAAAGATAATATATAAATTAATTATAGTAATATTATAGTAGAATTCAACATGTTAAAAAAATAAATATATAATAATGATAATTTGGTAAAATATACATTTCAGTAATCTTTTATTCCTTTAATCTAAGCCCAACATCGTGTCCTTGAATCCTTTTTTATGCTCTCTAAACTAGGGATTAGGGGATTAGGGTGCGTTTAGCTTTCATCCCCAAATATGCTTCTCATTTGAGTGGGTGTTCTCTTTTTCCTTGGTGAGATCGATCATATATCTTCAACTGTGTTTTTATTCTGTTTCTGATTGTTTGATGTTTCATGCTTGTGATTTGGATTACTCTTGATTTAGTTTCAAAGTATTGAGGTTCTGTGTGGGTTTCTAGTCTGCTCAGGAGTTGATTGTGTTAGTTTACAACATGCTAGCTGTTTGTGTAATAGCCATAGTAAATTAGTCGTTTGCTCGTTTGTTAAATACAGTATGAGAGAGAGTGTTTCCGGTATTCCGTCGGAAACTGTTTCTTTGTCCGTGGTTATTCTACCAAACACTTTCATTTGAAAGGCTTATGGCAGATTGTGAGTTGCTTTGGTGAGGTTATGAGTGTGTATATTCCATAGAAGCGGAGTCCAGTTTGCTCTAGGTTCGGTGGGTGGTGTGTTGTGCTTTGGTGATCTGTCGTGGTTTTGATTGTGTGATGTTGCTACAGCTGTCCTTTGTTTGCTTAGGTTAGTTATATGTTCTTCGGTGTTGCTCTTAGATTCTGTCCATTGTCCGCTCCCATGTTGGTGTTATGTTTTGTGTGTTCATTGATGGCACTTCGGCCGATGGTGGAGCGGCATAATTCAGCAGTAGTCGGCGATGAGTTGTTTTCTAGGGTGCATGAGGGTTCAAATGCAGTGCTGGTTTCGAGGTAAACTTTAAGTGGAGATGGTGCCCTGAAAAACTGGTTACCGCATGCAGTTCCTGTTGTAGGAAATGTGGAGACTGTCGGTGATTGTTTATTCGTCAGTATCGTAGGATGGGTTGTTTTATCTGTTGGTGGATCAGATCCTAACAATATATATATAATTTAGTAAGGAGTTTTTTTATTCTGCTGTGGGCATATTAATGACCGAAGGTTGCAAAGCTTCTACTGTTCAAAAGGGTTGTCAGGCTATTTGTCGAATTAATTCCCTTAAAATAAAGAAGAAGAAGAAGAGTGCAAAGCGTAGCAGGGAGTGGTTTATAAGAGTTGTTTCTTCTGGATGTTCAACAAGTGAGTTTCCTTTTCGTAGTGCTTGCATTTGTTCAAGTCAGGGTGTTGTTGTTGTTTCGGGGTCTGGGCAAACTTCATTTGGTCGTTGATTGATTCCAGTAATGTACGATTTTGGGTGTAAACTCGAAGCAATCATTTCGTGTTTGTGCATTTTGGGAGCTGTTTGTTCTTCGGATTTCTGCTTGCAACCATTTCCTATTCTTCGAGTCTACTTTGCTCTTTAGCTTTCGAGCTTCATGTTCTCCCTTTTCATATGGATCAGATTCTGCGAGTGAGTTTTTTAGGTCTTAGTGCTTGACGTTGGTTCAAGCTATGGATGTTGTTGATGTTACGTTAGAGGTGTTGGTTCATTCCATTGGTTGTGTCGTTTTGTGTGTGTCCCCATTTTTAGTTTATCTCTTTCTTCAAATGGTTTGTTTGGTATGACTTTTATGTACTGTCGGGGGATTGTCGTAGGGTTTGTGTATGGATTGTGTGTTGTTAGTTTTTGTGTTTGTTGATACTTACCACCTCAAGGTACACTCTTTTTCCTTCATTTAATATTAGGGAGGTTTTTTAATGAGGTCCTCGAGGTAATCTATATTAATACAAAGTACCCTTTTTTTAAAAAAAATAACCAAACACAAAATACAACATTCCCAATAATCCTATTCCCTGATAATCTTTTATTCTCACTGGTAATCTTATATTCCGTTAATCAAACACACCCTGAGAGTTATCTTTGAACGATATTACCTTATATTTACTACAAATTAATAAGAAAAAAGTGAAAAAAGGAAGAAAAAAAAGGAAAAACACAACAGATTAACAACAACATTTGACAACAATAGTCATTTTAAAAATAAATTAAAATTTTAATAATTGTATTGCAAATTTGAAACGTTTAAAGATGAAAATATAATATCTTAAAAGTTAAACGAGTATTTATATAATATTTCTTAAAGCATTAATAATAATTAATGTAATTTGTTTTTTAGTTACAATCTTAACAATGACATGGTTTTGAATTTAAAAATTTCAATTCTATCTATTTTAAAATCAACAGGTAAATGTTAAACTAAAATCAAATTGAATTAAAAAAATTTAATTCAGAATCACACGTCTCTGTGCGTTGAAAATTTCCTTTAGAAAATCCAAAAAGAAAAAAGAAAAACAGACAATTTGGAACACTATTTCCTTTTTGTATCTTTCGAGAATCTCTCGATCCATTTTCCAAGCACCCACCGCGCTCCCTCCGTCTCTTTAATTTCAAATTCTCCATTTATGTCTTTATTTATTACAACATAAACGCCCCTAACAATTTCTTCCAAACTTCTCCTTCATTTTGGGCGGCTTTCTTTTTATTCAAATGGGTTTCCGAGTTTGATCTGAAGGTGGGGTTCTCTTCTTCTTCTTCTTTGTGTGTGTTTTGGTATCTGGATTTTTTTATTTCGTTGGTTTTAAAATTTCCTCTTTTGGAATACCGTAGATCTGTTCGATTCTTTAAGTTTTTTTTTTTTTAATGTTTACTGATGTAGTAAATCGCAAGAAAGATTGTCCATTATTTCACCTATATTGCTCCAACTTGTAATTTTCACAATTGTGAATTTTTGTTATGTATTTATGAAAAGGGGGTTTATTTTTTTTTTAAATTAAGGTGGAATGCACACCGGTTGGTGAAAATTAAGAGAAAAAAGTGAAGGTAAGGGTTTAAAAGGTGGGGGTAAAAATATTTTTTTATGACAATTTTTTATTCGTTCTTTTTGTTGTTATTGTGAACTAGTTTTGTGTGATGTGCATTGATGAACCCTAGTTATTATTATTGAATGATAAATGGACTGATTTGATTCAAATAATCATATCTTGATTAATTATATTCGAGTCATTGATTCTTAAATGACATTTTAAATGTTGATATTAATGTTTGATTCAAATAATCAAATGTTGATTATTAATTGTATTCATGTTGCCGATTCTTTAATGAATTGTTAAAAAGGTAAATACCAGTGGTTCTTTGTGTTTTGGTTATCCTGCATGTCGTTTAGGACAAAACATTGTATGAATTGGTTACCACGAAGAATTATCATTTACAATTTGGTTTGATACTAATAATCAAATATTGATTGATTTCTTTCATGTTGCTGACTCATAAAAGACTTCTTAAAAAGCAGATGTCTATGTTGACCTTTATGTTAGTTATCCTTCATGTCGGTTTAATAGATGGGATTGTTCGAAATGGTTACTTCGAATGATTGAATACTAGTTCCATCTAAAATTTGACATCATTATGCTTCTAAGCAAGTACAATGCTCTTTACCCGTTGCTTGTAAATAGTGAATATTGTTTTGTGAGGGTTTTTGATGATTCATGGAACAATAAGGTGATCATAGAATTTGATTCATATAAAACATTTTATAGTAAGCGAAATGTCAACTCATTTTTGTTTATATTTTCAGTCTAGACCGTGCCTTGATATTCATCATGTCATCTGTGAATGCATTTTTTGACGACTTGCAAAGCAAGCCCAAGGTTGTTGATCCTCCACAAAATGAAGACATCGTGGATTGTGAATCTCTTAATGAAGCTAATCAAGCTACTGTTAAACCGAATGTGACTGTGTCCAGCAATGTTCGTGAGCTGTTGGAGTGCCCTGTTTGCTTAAATGCAATGTACCCTCCAATTCATCAGGTTTTTCATATGAATCCTTATAATCGGTGATTACAATGATATTGCTTCCTCGCAAATTCTATAATTTGTTTCTGGTGGAATCCTAGGACTCCAAATACAGGAATGTTGGAAAATTTTGAACATACTGGGTCTGACACGTAGCGTCTAAGTTAACATAACTATAATGTATACTTAACAGGCCATGGAATGAAATTCCTTTGTCATTGTGTTCTTTATTGGCTTGTGAATCTGCTATATATATTGTAATTTGTTGCATCTCTTATATAGTAAACATTAACATGAACATTATAAATTAATTGCTAATTTTCTTTCTTTATGTAGTGCTCAAATGGACACACATTGTGTTCTGGTTGCAAGCCAAGGGTGCACAACCGGTGTCCTACGTGCAGGAATGAACTTGGTGATATTAGGTGTCTTGCGTTGGAGAAGGTTGCTGCATCTCTTGAGCTTCCCTGTAAATACCAGAGTTTTGGGTGCACAGGCATCTATCCGTATTACGGCAAGCTAAAACACGAGTCCCAGTGCTCCTATAGACCATACAGCTGCCCCTATGCTGGGTCAGAATGCACAATCATTGGTGACGTTCCACATCTTGTGGCCCACTTGAAAGATGATCACAAAGTTGACATGCACAATGGCTGCACTTTCAACCATCGTTATGTCAAATCAAATCCGCATGAGGTTGAGAATGCTACATGGATGCTAACGGTATTATTGCTTTATGCTTGCTTCGCTTTTCTGTGTCATATTTGGTTCCTCTCTAACCTCTAGAAGAGGAATTATTCTACCGTCAATGATATTCAATAAAGTTAACGTTGTTGTTTTAGATTTTAGTTTAAAGATTGTCACTGATAGTTGGATTTCTTATTCTCAAATTTTAGGTTTTCGGTTGCTTTGGTCAATACTTTTGCCTGCATTTTGAAGCCTTCCAACTCGGGATCTCTCCTGTGTACATAGCATTCTTGCGGTTTATGGGCGACGATAATGAAGCAAAAAATTATAGCTACAGCCTGGAAGTGGGTGGAAATGGAAGGAAGATGATTTGGCAAGGGGTGCCAAGAAGCATAAGAGACAGTCATCGAAAGGTCCGTGACAGTTTCGACGGTCTGGTCATCCAACGCAACATGGCTTTGTTCTTCTCAGGGGGAGACCGGAAAGAATTGAAGCTTAGAGTGACGGGAAGGATATGGAAAGAGCAGTGACGGTAACATTTTTTGGTCCCCGTAATCTCCGTTGATTCTGCTTTGTTGTGAAGGCACGTAAGAAGTAGATTGTTTGATTCGGGTAGTTTTACAAGATCTTCTGCGCATGCATCTGTTTCGGATTGTAGGAGACAAACTCTCTTTGCTTGGGCATGTATGAGGTTCATGAATGGGAAGACGTAGCTTTTTTAGTTTCGTGTCTACAAATCTAGCATCTACCGAATCATATGTTTGTGTTGTACCATATCTGATATTGTCGGTTAAAAAGAAAGTCAACTAAATCAATCATAAAAACAAAAATCGTTGATCTGCGGATAATTAATTATCTGGGATAATTAATATATACTTATATTAACACGTACAGATATAAGTGGTGACCAAGTACGTTGATAGTTCTAATCTTATTTTATTGTCATCACACGTTCATTAATAAAAGCACTATTATAAAATCATATAAAATATTATTTTAAAAACATATTACAAGAATTATAATTATAATTATAAAGAGAGTATTACAAGAAGGTGAAAGGTTCTACGAAATTGAAAGATAGGAGATTTATATTATTATACGCTAAAATCATATAAAATATCATTTTTAAAATCAGTTTTATTTTACAGAAAATACTTATTAGCACATTGATATTAATTCAATCTCACTAGTGATCCTATTTAACCACTGAAAAAATCTTTTGCGGGAAATGAAATGAATCATTCTGCCCGTAAATATTTAACAAATTTGGTTTTATGAAATGCAAATTTTGGGCTTTCCTGACCAAATCTCTCGAGGCTCAGTCCATATTAACAAAAGTTTAAAATCCCTAATTTCCCTTTCTGCGAAATCAAAATTTCATCCCCAAATCCCACTCTCCGAAGATTTAATTCCAGAGAGGTCACGTGCTATCACATCCAACTCGCCGAGGAAGAATCAGAGAGAGTAGGAGCGAAAGTCACGTGCCTAAAAATGGCGGCCTCATCGCCGGCCGTAACAAAAAGCATCAGCGAAACAACCGCCATTTCTACCGAGTCGACGCCGAAAGCTACAGCTGCTGCGGCGGTGCCTCTTCCTCCTCCGCCGTTTCAGCGTATGGATACTCCGCCTAAGACACAGCGGGGTCTTAATAAGCCCAAATGTATTCAGTGTGGCAATGTTGCCCGCTCCAGGTAAACGATATTCTCTTTTTCTCTCTTTTTTTTGTTGATAAAAACGTGTGATTATTTTGGTTTGTATTTTAATCTAGTTGGAATTTGGTAATTAACCCATAAAAGAACATAGGAAAAATATCATTCATTGAAACAGCAAGATCAAAGTAGTTAGTGCGGTATCCAAGTTGTGCCGCTTTTGCTTCAGTGCTGGTGTGTTTCAGTGTACTGTTTTTGGTATCTTATAAATCTTGGTAAAACTTGTAAGCTCCACAATTGAGTCTATATAGTTGATACCTGTCTACTGAATCTTATGTAAGTAACTTATAAGTTGACATAATTACTTGAATTGGCTGTTTGATTATTTATTATTATTACTATTTTTTGAGGAGTTTAAAACAATCCAGTGATAGTGTCTTAATAAAAATCACCCACCAAATCATTCTTGTTTCTTGAATTATGTGTGCAGGTGTCCGTTTCGTTCATGCAAGAGTTGTTGCTCAAAAGCACAAAATCCATGCCATATACATGGTAAGAACGAATCAATCAAGAAAACTTGAGAAACTAGTTTGTTTTTCTATTGTCAAATTGGTTGTTTTGATAACAAGATGATATCTGGTTTTGTGGTTACTTATAAAAATGAAGAGGTTGGAGTTTTAGGGTTAGTGCATACTGGATCTAAAGTAAAAATCATGTTGAAGATGGTTAGAAGGGATGCTATCTTGAAACACAGTATAAAGATATGAGGATTCTTCTTGCTAGTATTATACTATGTCATTGGACTTGTGTTTGAGAGTGGTGTACGTTTCCTACACGGGTATGTTCAAAATCTTGAACTTTTTTCATGTATTTAGAGGGTCCTTGAAGGGTCATATCTGCATGCCTATGTCTGCAAATGTTTGGATATGTTTTAGAAATGAGTACTGCAAATTGAATAAGGTCATATACCTTGAACCACATTTTTTGGGAACTTTGCAGTTGCAGATGGAAACTTTCTGTATAACTGGTATCTTAGTTCACAAGATTTAACATTTTAATTTTGTTGGAATGGCCATATATTCTATTGAAGGCTAGCACTGTGTTGGGCTTAGGTTTAGATTTATTTGTAAAAGCATGGTCATATAGTTTTCCCCTTTTACTTAATAGCGAAGGGGAATTCTTTGATGACGTTATAAGTTGTTCTCTAAAACATGAAACTGCAAGTACCATTTAGATGATATTGTTGTGACATTGAGACGATTTGTGACCTTACATCCTCAGAAAACTCTAAAGCAATGTACTTGGTGAATCAATCCTGTAGCGTTTTCCACGAAAGTGAATTCTCTCACATTCTTAAAGATATTGGAGCTTGGCTAAATTCTTATCTTGGAGAGGTTATCAAATAGTTGTGTGAAGTCATTGGTTTAATGCTTATTATATCCTTTTCATTTGAAAGCCATTGTCTTTTATGTGCAATACACACCACAAGTGCTTGTATTGAGTGAAAACATAATAGGTTTTGATTAGGTTGCAAGTATTTGTATTGTTCTCTGAAATTCTAACTAGGCGACAAAGTAAGAACACTCTGAAATCTGCTGCCACTGTTAGACGCAAGCTTTAAACTAGGACTGTAGAATTCATTGTAGATGTTTGTTTTATTGTTGGTAGAGCACTTCTGTTTCTGATTGAGCTAAAAGTAGTGTAGCCCGTTGGTGGTCTGGAAATTCAGAGAGTTTATGTTCTTTTAGAGGGGGAGAAACTAAGAGTTCGTTCCAAGACTTCAGCGAATATATGTATTGTCAAGGAATGAAACAATGAGCATCAGAAGTAACTATCTGATCTATATTGCAATTTCAGTTCTAAAGTCAAATTCAGCTTTTCCAGAGAAGACACAGACTTCAAGCACTCCATCACCAGACCAGAAGTCAACTCAGGCTTCTTCTCAAGTGTAAGTTGCAAAAATCTGTTACTCAGAGTAAGCATCTTCATATTTGATTTGGGCGTAGATGTTGATCTGTGTGTAGCTGTCAGAACTGAGAATGGGACAAAATCTGAGAAGCATATTTCTCTATAAGCAGTGTCACTTTTCATGTGAAATTGGTACTTTGGAGAGGAGCATAGTTGCCAAACTTTGTTAGGCATGCATGCTGTTTCTCACTTGTTTTTGGGTTTTCCTAAAATCTTCTAGGCCGCAGACTGTTTTGTTCCACTTTTTTAATTGCTGATTTCATCAGTGTCTGAACGAGTTCAGTGCTATCTTTCTGAGATTTGAATTGATCTTTGAATTTGTTGGTTGACCTGTGGTTGATTCTTTTCATGTTGAATGTTATTCAGGACTTCCTTAAGGGTTCCCTCTTATCGTCAACTTTCCAATGCTTTTGCACAGTTTGACAATCTGCAGGTTCGCACAAAGAAACACGTGACCAGAAAGGTGTGGTATAGTTTTGAACAGATACTCTTGTTCAACTTTGATATATCACTTTATAAGCCTTATCCCTTGTGCAATTTCAGGATGCTATTGCCTTGAATGAGTGGAGGTTTTCCAAGTTAAAGGAATTCAAGGACAGAAATATTGAAATCGAAAACAATGCTTTTGACCGGTACATGCAGAATATTAGTTTACTTGAGGAAGTCTTTTCTACAGAAGGGTCTGAACCTAGCTCCACTTCACAGGAAGGTGAGACTTCGGTGGTGACTTCAGGCATGAAGTTGACACTAAGATCGAATCCTGTGAGAACTAACAATGTCAGAAAGAGGATACAGCAAATTGTTGATCAGGGAATAAAAAAGCTTCAGAAAAGTGAACCTAATGATGGTTCTACTGATCCAGACGACCAAAATAAACTCGATAATATGTTGAACAAGGAAAAATCCTTGTGGGTTGAGAGGTCTTCAATGTTAAGCGATATTGTCGACACTTGAACAAAGCTCGAAATGAAGAGGATATAAAATCTTGTCTAGAGATGAAAGCGCAACTTTACAATCAAAGCACAATGTCTACTCCAATAGAAATTAAAGATCTTGAAGCATTGAATGAGCAGGGTCCAAAGAACAATGCAACTCCAGGACAGGTAGTTAATTATCCAAGGCGAAAATTGATTACACCGATTGAAATTGATGAAGAAGCTCTCAACAAAGTTGATGCACATTTCTCTTCCCTGGAGCAGATTGAAGACTTGTAACTGTAAGCAGTATTATTCTCTCAAAGACAGATTAGTCTTAGGTTTACCCGTTGAGTTATGATTCATGGTGATGGTCTGAATTTTCCTCCCATCTTTAGGCTTAGTAACAATGACTTAAATTTAGCTTAGTTATTTCAGATAACCATTCTAGAAAGTGACATTTAGTAGGTCTAGAGTATTAATTCCATCGTCTATAATTTTTTTTCTTTTATTCTCAAAATTTCCACCCCTCTTAGGCTTAGTAATAGTGGTGTAAACTAGCTCTGTTGGCTCATGTCACCATTGTAAAAATTGGCATTTAGTCAATCTGGCCAAGTTAGTTAGTTCATGTAGTCACTTCAGAAGATTGCATTCGTATATGCGGAGTTTGAATTTCGACATATATAGTTAAGGGGGAAAGAAACAGATTGTGGATTGCGACTTCTTCCGTATACGAGAACGTGGGTCGAGTTTATTGTTGTAATTTTAGGCACTCTTCGCGTAGCAAGCAAGCTTAGTGTTGTTGATATTGGATTTATTTTTATGTGATCAATGTGAATGTAACATAGAAGTTTATTTTACCTTTCATTCCTTATTGTTCATCTTTATGCTATTATTTCGGAATTTTGTTCTTTGGCCAGATTTTGGAGGTTGGATACGAATACGTAACAGCAAAAAAATATATCATGACATGAATATCTAAGAGTTTATATAATAGAGTTTATATCATGACATGAATATGGGGAGTATTATTAATTTATAAAATAATTTAAATATATGATAATGATATATCACAAATACAGGGATATATACGAAGAAAAGCAGTAAATTCTATGTTAGTTGTAGTATTTATTGATGAATAAAGTAAGAGTTGATGTGAAAAAAAGTCACTAACTGATGAAGTTTAAATGAGATCCAAGCTGGCGAATATTTAAAAATAAATATAATTAGAAAATTTTATTATTAAATTGATTATAAGTTAAGAATTACAACATAATAGTATTATATACAAAAATTATGAATTAGAGTATGATATAATAATGTATTTTTGGTTACCTTATTTATTTTTTTGAAAGTTGATTTTTTAAATAAATATTAATGATAAATTTATTATTATAGTTTAATTCTAAAGAAAGACAAAAGGTTTTAGGTTAGAGTTGTAGAGTAAGAATATTTCTAATAAAATAAATATTATATTTACTTCAAGAGATTAATAAGAAGTAAATTAATAATTTTATAGTTTAATGGTCATCGGCAATGACGAATTTTTTTTATTGGATTTAATGGTCAAATTAAAATTTTATATAAAGTTTAAAGATCACATTGATATTTTTGTTTAAATTTAAGATTAAATTAAAAAATAATCACTTTTAACAACATGTAAAATAACAAGGGTTAGAAATTCAATGACTAAAATGTAATAAATCGATAATATAAATGATAAAAATATTTTATTCGAAAATATATGATAAAAAAGTGAACAAAATTGAAATAAAAAGTATTATTCTTGCAGTTTACCCAAGAAAGAAAATAAAATACAAATGCGCGTCGAAGTACGAGATTCTCTAGCGTTTATGGCACACTGATAACCATTAACTAGCTCCAGAATTTGTGGGGTCTGGAGGCTATTATTCTTCACATTCTATTATTAAAAATTAATAAATTTTAATAAAATTGTCGAGAGAGAAAAACAAAAACAAGTTCTCACTTCTCACAACTTTTAATTGTTGGATAATTCGGTTGTTGCTCATACTAATTCCTATGATTCTTTGATTTGTATTTTTCACATAAAAACAATATTTTTTGTTTGTTTGTTCTTCTTTTCCAGCTTTGCTTAAAAGTTAAAACGCCAGAGCAAGAAACATTGTAATCTGTTTTCCTTTTCCCAACAATGTACAACAACATTTTAAATTCTTCTTCTTTATGTACATGTTTGATTTTCTTCAGAATCTTTTCACTGTTCAACAATATATTCGACGCATAAGAAAATTCGATCTAAGGTTCATTCTTCGTTCCACGATCTCGTTTTGAATTGAAAACCCAGAATATTTAGAATGTAAGAATTGTTTCCTGAATTCAAATTATTTGTTTTTTGGGTTCCTTTATTTATCTAATGGGTGTTTATGTAATTTTCAATTCAGATTAAGGATCTGCTAATTGGACGTATTCAGGTATCACACAGTGATTAATGATTAGGTTCTTCAATTTGGAAGTTGGAGATGTCAACGCAGTATGAAAAATCTGACTCCAAACCTCCTCCTGGTAATGTTTCATTTTATACAAAGGAACTAAAGATGAAAAGGCTGTCATAAATGTTTATGGCATACACAAGAAGGATATGAAAGCGATGAAAATATTGCTCTGACATTTTGGATTGCAGGCAATAACTCTTGATGGAATGACTGCATGCAATTGTTTTTTGTGATGAAGAATATATCATTTTTGAAGTTAAACAATGATGTTATGAGGGAAACTAATGTTACTTGGGCTTGGGGGTCAGTGTTACTTTTTCAAGTTTTTTTTTCGATGTTCGAATATGCATTGAAGAGTTAGACTGCAACATAGTTTCCCAAATTTAGCAGGATGGTTGCATGTTTCTGATAACATAAATGTTTATCTAAGAATATAGGTTTGGTTGATTTGATTATGTTGGACTTGTAGGATCAGGGTCTTGCTTGTATGATCTCTTATATTCAGAAACACCATGTTGGGATCGACCAGGTGATGCAGAGACTATTACTTCTTGGTTTCTCAGAAAAGAACGGAAACCCTCTGGTATTAGTCGAATCTCAAGTATCGTTATCCCATCTAACTTGTTACAACTATGTTATTCGGATTTGAGTATGACATGGATGCTTTGAACTAAATTCATTTTTAACTTGCATTATTATTCATTAACCAGGTGCACAAGCAAGGCTTGAGAGGATGTTGGAAGAGTTTGGGAATAGTGTTTGTGCAGATTGTGGATCCCCGGATCCTAAATGGGTGTAAGTTATCTCATGCTTTTGACTTGGACTGTTTTCTTTTCTCTATTTGCTTGTTTCTGGGTTATGTTATTCGGATTTGAATATGGGTTTAACATGGGTATATTCAAGCCTCAAGGATAACATTTGCCCCTTTTCGTCAGTTTTTCCTTTTTCTTTTTGGTGCTTAATGGGTATATGTTAAATTAGCATTGCCTTTTGTTTTACTATTTGTTTCTTCTTCTTCTTCTTCTTCTGCATATTAGATCTTTAAGTCTTGGAGTTTTTATTTGTATCAAATGCTCTGGTGTTCATAGAAGCCTTGGAACGCATATATCAAAGGTATGCTTTTTATATTGCTCTAAGTATCAAGTCCGAGCAAGATAACAGCTGGTTTTCTAATTTGAGAAGCAACTGTGCTAGGTTTTATTAGTAAAGCTAGATAATGGACGGATGTCCAAGTTTATTCTCTGGTAAATTTGGGTGGCAATAACGTACTAAACAATAAGTATGAAGCTTTCCTTCCTGATAGCCTTAGTAAACCCAGACCGGATTCCTCCATTGAAGAACGCTCTGATTTCATTAGGTAATGCCAACTTAAAGTTTTGTTTTTTTGTTCTCTTTTTGATCCGTTTTTCTCAGTATCCTATTTCTTGTATGCTCAGGAGGAAGTATGAGATGCAGCAATTCTTGGAAGGCAATGAACAATCGAACTGCCTCCACCAGCCGCATCATCGAACTTATTCGTCGACATTACGGAATACTTCAAACAATCATTTTAGTAATAAAAAACATAGAGAGAAACCAAGCAAACATAGAATCGGTCAAAAATTTAGAAATAGCCGGGTAAGAAAAGATACTGATCAGCTGAAGAGCAAGAAGAGCAACTCTTTGGTAATTATCTTTTACTCATTCTTGTATTGCTTTGAAAGTATTTGTAACATCGTGTGTTACTGAATGCTATTTTGTTTTTGTTTTAATTCACTGTTTATAGGCAGGTATGGTTGAATTCGTTGGGCTGATTAGAGTGAATGTGGTTAAAGGCACCAATCTAGCAGCCCGGGACATGCTCTCTAGCGATCCCTACGTCATTCTTGCATTGGGTCAACAAGTATGCTTCTTTCTCTACATGTTATTTTAATTTCATTTTTCTTCAACTATTTATATCTGATATTTAAACACAAATCTGAATGGTACTATATGTTGAACTGAAATGAAGAAATCTGCTGAAGGATGTTATTGTAGTGATCTAATTTCCTCGTAGTTTTCTTTTTTTTCTTCTTTTTTCGCAGTCGTTAAAGACTCGAGTCATAAGGAACAACCTAAATCCGATCTGGAACAAAAGCTTAATGTTGTCGATTCCAGAAAACATTTCTCCTTTGAAAGTGGTGAGTTTTTTATTCTTCGACAGTTAAAGGAAGATGTGAATTTTGTTGCCTGGAAGTAGCATGGAAGCTTAAACTCACTCTACCTTGTTTTATACATTGCAGCTTGTGTATGATAAAGATACATTCAAGGCCGATGATTTTATGGGGGATGCCGAGATCGACATTCAGCCTCTCGTTGTGGCGGCGAAAGCCTACGAAAAGTCGGAGATTAATTAATCAATGCATCTTGGAAAATCGGTGGCAAGCAAAGAGAACCACCTGGTGAACGATGGTACCATTACCTTAACGGATGGGAGAGGTAAACAAGAGATCTCTCTTAGGCTACAAAATGTTGAGAGAGGAACGTCGGAGATTGAACTCGAATGCGCCCCGCTAACGCAGTAGTGGTAGTAAATATCCATGTAATATATGAATGTTTTCTATAGTATTTGGACTCGAGCAGCTGAATTTGTAGGATGAATGTTCATTGTCAATAAACAAAATAAAATTCTAAACAGATATTATACTGTAATTATCTCAAATAAAATTATTTAAAAAATTGACGTAATCATCGAAAATCTTAACTAATTCCCAACTTCAAACATGCTCTACATCAGCACCACCTACAAAACTTGGATTATTTTTTCTAACGCTGTAACTCTTTCTTATAGGCAGAGTCCATGGAAATATCTCTTTCATCGACCTAAATCCTAAATCCTCTAATCATTTCTTTTAAAAAAATCTTTGCAGCTGAATTTATCACTTAAAAAATAATAGAATTTTGAACAAAGTTTTTAAAATTATTATGATTTTGAAAAAAAAACGTCATTTAGTAGGTTATATATTTTATGCTTCGAAATTTAGTTTTTTTTTAAATAATTATATCTTTGTGCTTTAAAATATTTGTTTTGGGTTAAGTTTTTATAAATTTCAATTTTTTTTATAATTTGTTCACCTCTGTGAGAGTTGGTTAAAACATGATGGTGGCTAGGGATGGATCTAGGCAGGGTGGGTGAGGTAATCGTCCCCTAAAAATTTAAAATTATCAATATATTTTAGATTTTATTTATGTATTTTCTATTGAAAATTTATTTTCGTCCCCTAGAACTTTATAAGTTCAAGTACATCCCTTTGAAATTTTATAAGTTTAAATTCGTCTCCCAACATAAAATCCTGTACCTGTCCTTAGTGATGACTATCGTTCGAGGTCAGTAGGTTTGTGTACCCGGGTATGGGACAACAACCGTTTTGGTAAGGGTGACCTGAATCGTTGCTGCTTTACTTATGTATTAGATTAAATGTGTGGGATTAGTATCTCCTTCTTGTGCACTCTTGTCATTGATATGTACATTCTTTTTCTTTCATTTAAGTTTAGGGAGGCTTTTTTAACAAGCTCACATCTATATCTTATTTTGTGCGACCCTTTTATAACATACAAAATATACCCTTTACAAAAAGAAAGATTTTATAAATTCCAGTTTCTTTTTATAATTTGTTATGGATTTCTATAGAGTGTTTGTGAAGATAAATTGTTAGTGAATATATCCAATTTGTTTATATGCTCTAATAATAGATTCTTAGTTTATAGTAGAATTTTATAAGTTCAAATACATCCCTTTGAAATTTTATAAGTTTAAGTTCGTCTCCCAACATAAAATCCTGTACATATCCTTAGTGATGACTATCATTCGAGGTCAGTAGGTTTGTGTACCCGGGTATGGGACAACAACCGTTTTGGTAAGGGTGACCTGAATCGTTGCTGCTTTACTTGTGTATTAGATTAAATGTGTGGGATTAGTATCTCCTTCTTGTGCACTCTTGTCATTGATATGTACATTCTTTTTCTATCATTTAAGTTTAGGGAGGCTTTTTTAACAAGCTCACATCTATATCTTATTTTGTGCGACCCTTTTATAACATACAAAATATACCCTTTACAAAAAGAAAGATTTTATAAATTCCAGTTTCTTTTTATAATTTGTTATGGATTTCTATAGAGTGTTTGTGAAGATAAATTGTTAGTGAATATATCCAATTTGTTTATATGCTCTAATAATAGATTCTTAGTTTATAGTAGAATTTTATAAGTTCAAATACATCCCTTTGAAATTTTATAAGTTTAAGTTCGTCTCCCAACATAAAATCCTGTACATATCCTTAGTGATGACTATCATTCGAGGTCAGTAGGTTTGTGTACCCGGGTATGGGACAACAACCGTTTTGGTAAGGGTGACCTGAATCGTTGCTGCTTTACTTGTGTATTAGATTAAATGTGTGGGATTAGTATCTCCTTCTTGTGCACTCTTGTCATTGATATGTACATTCTTTTTCTATCATTTAAGTTTAGGGAGGCTTTTTTAACAAGCTCACATCTATATCTTATTTTGTGCGTGTCACCCTTTTATAACATACAAAATATACCCTTTACAAAAGGAAAGATTTTATAAATTCCAGTTTCTTTTTATAATTTGTTATGGATTTCTATAGAATGTTTGTGAAGATAAATTGTTAGTGAATATATCCAATTTGTTTATATGCTCTAATAATAGATTCTTAGTTTATAGTAGAATAACTTAAATTAATTTTTAATTTAAAGTGAATTTTATAAATATATTTTCAAATTGTCCCTATTACTTATATATTCTATCGATTTAGTCCTAATTTTAATTTAATTTTTTAAAATTGATTTAAAAATCTTCTTAGCTTAATAATTTGAGAATGCCACACGGAACCACCGGAGTGGCTAACCCAAAATCTTTTTAGCTTAACAATTTGAGAATTTAAAACGATCATTTAAAAATCATTTTCGTATAACTAATTTCAACCATAAAATATAAAAAAATCTTACATCGAGAGCTCCCAAAATAATATTTCAAATTATATAGACCAATGTTTAAAAATAAAGTTACGACTCACTACATACAAGGGTCCACAAATATACATGCCCTCTAAAGAAAATGACTTGAGACATACTTTGCTTACACTAGGTTTGGATCACAGCTGCTCAAAAAGCTCCTCGATGCTCCTCCTACTAACCTGCGTAAGGAAACAAATTCCAAACGCTGAGCTCACTAGCCCAGTGTCACACTGACAGCTAAACCGTACTAAATGTGTTTCATTAAATGCTCAGGCTATCAAGGAACATGCAATAGTGAGTATACTTGTATACTTCACTCTCTACTCTATGGTAGACATCATGGTGCGACTGAGGGTTATGCATCTTAGAGCTCACACTCCCCTTTAGTCTACCGAGGAAGAGGCCTAGAATCTCTACATCAGACACAACACCCTCGACTGACTCACCCTTAGCAGGTGTCGGGCCTCGGCCCTAGTTAGTCAGTTTAAAGTGTCTCGCGCACTACCTAAGGATATACAGACTGATTCTATTACTTGATACTAGTATCATTTACTAAAGTGACCATGTTGTCCTAATTATTTCCTGAGTATTCAAACAAGGCTAGTTTTATGTAATCCTAACATTTATTGTTTCTTTTATTCTGATATAAATTATTATTCTCACTTGGAGTCTTATTTGTTGTTATTCTAAGTATATATGGTACCTCAAATCCTATCCCTCAATCCTTGGATTATTTATCCAAACTGTATCTTTGATATCGATACCTACATGCTGGTATCGATACTCCCATATTGATATAGGCTATTTGGGTAAGGTAGTATCGATACTCAGGTTCGATATTTTGAAAAATACCTAAGTATCGATACCCCTATGGAGAGTATTGGTACTCCTGCCCTGGTATCGATACTCTATGAATGAGTATCGATACTCTATGAATGAGTATCAATATTAACCCTTTAAAATTGTCTGGTTTTTGCCTAAAAGATGAACAATATCGATATTGTTCATACAATATCGATAACATCGCTACGAGGTGCCTTGTTTTTGCACGAAAAATCTTATATTTTCACCTAAAAGGCCCCATTGAGGTCCACAACTAATATTTAAGTGTTTTATTTGATATTAGAGGTCATAAAGAAGGCTTTAAACATGCTAAAAATCACAAAACGTGGAATCTACCATGAATGCTTTATAACTCAAATTTAGGTTAAAATGCATCTCTAATGACTCACAGTGATATGAGGAATTTTTGAATGTGTTACTTTGAATTCTTTGCTGCTAGAAATGTCCTCAAATCACCCAAGATACAACTTCTCCTTTCCTCTTGCCTTTGAGTTCTTTCTTGCTTCTTTCACTAATCAAAGGTAAGAAAAGGAATTATTAACTTAACTAGGTGGTTGGATTAAAGGTAAGAACACTTCCTATAACTTGAATCTACTAAAAACGAGCTAGAATCCATAGATCCTCTTAAACCTCCCTAAAACCCATTTTTGGAAACTAAGTGTAAAACTTGAGAAATGAAGATTAAATTAAAACTCTTTGATTGTAGATTACCATGCTTACCTTATCTAATCCCAACTAGGCTTGAAATCCTTGAAACTTTCACTTGAAAGAGGAAAGAGAAGAGAATAAAGATGAGATGAAGAGAAGAGGGTTTGGTGAGCTAATAGGGGGAATGGTTCAAGTGAAATCATATAAAATGAAAAGGGTTTTCATCTTTTAAATCAAGCTATGGGTATATTGCACTTTTGATCCCTCTTCTTTATTTTTCTTAATAAACTCATCCCACATCTCCATCACTTCGGCCTAACTCAAGCCCAAATCCAACATAACTAGGTCCAACTATTCTAATAAGTCTTTTGGGACTGTTTGGTTTTAAGAAGAGTTTTTCAAAATAAATGAGTAAATTGGAGCATTGCTCCTCCAATTTACCTAAGGTTTGTGGGTTTGGAATTTTCTATATTTTAGTTTTTGACTCAAATTTTGAATATGTTCAATTTAGTCTCAAAAATTAAAATTTTCTCAATTAAATCCCAAAATTGAGAATTAATTAAATTAGAAAAAAAATAAAATTAGCAAGGCCAAAATTCCAAACCAAATTTGGAGAGTGACAATAAGCAAATAAATGTTAGATTTCATCCAATCTTTTTCTATACATTACTATCTCAAGCTAAAATTAAAGTCTCCTCGCCCATTAAGAGGAAGAAACCAAAGAAGTATTGATAGTTTGAGAAAATGAATCAATTCACGTATGTTTTCACCAGTTTTGGCCAATTCGTTTACACATTTGAAGCAATCTTTAGTGGTTCTCGGTACACGGTTAAACATAGAATTTAACATACTTTGATCTATGGCTTTGAATATGACGATATGACATTCTAAGAACATTTTCAATACACGAAAGATCTTAGGAAAATTGAACATATTCATATCCGAATTCGAGTAATATAGAACTTCGCTATAACCTATCTTATATCTTCAACTGTAAAGTGATTGAGATGAAGAAATTGTACTGAGAAACTATCCCTGAATTACGAAACCGTGTCCGGCTCTGCCATTGATCATCCTCCTTAGTCATGTGAATGACGGAAGTAATAATCTTCTGCGTTTGACTCAAATCTCCAGAAAAAAAAATTAATGAATGTGCGTGAATGGACACCGTCTTTCGTCGTTGAAATCTCGTCGAAATCTAACTATTTTCTCAAGTGTCCTCTACGAAAACTTTGAAAATGAAATCCCGAAAGCGTTTTGAATATTGCTTTGGATCTACAGCTGATATGGATGTCGGATCATACTGCATCGACTTGTACGCATGCTCGAGCTTCTTGGTGATATCGTAGTCTTGTAGAATGTCGATTATACCGAAGAAGAGTATAACATCATAGAATTCGCCGGTGGGCTCTCCGACTAGCTGAGCTTCGCAATCCATTTTCCTCACGGTCTTCTCCACCCGAGCAGGCATATTTATGCCCAATCTAATGGAAGACCACCTGCAGCTGTCATATTGAAAGATCGTCACATATAGGACATGTAACCCTTTAGATCCATTAACTCTGTTTGCCCTCGAAATCGAGTTCGAGTTTTCTTTCGTCTTTTCTTTTCATGTGAACAAAAGAAGAGGAAGAACACAAACAGACACATGAATGCATCCAAGTAAAGTTCACATAGCGATCAATTTCGATTTTAGCAACTGAAGGAAACTAAAAAAATTGGTGTTGCCATAGAAAATAAATGAGTATCTAAAACTGAAGACATTCGTATTACCGAGACGAAGCTTGAGAAAGCCGAGGAGCATCTTCGTTTTCAGGATCTTGAGGTTCTGCAAATTAAGTCCAAAACATATATTAATCAGATAAGGGGTCACAGATAGCATGGACATGGAAGATTTAAATTCGAGAGAGGTGACTAAAAATAACCAGTACGTGAGGGAACATCGGAAGGACAAGGCGAGAAAGCTTCTCGAAAATGAAAACCAATCAGCAGACTGTAGTCCATAATTCTCTCCTGTTCAAGAAAGTCACAATCTCGGTCGACTTGCCTACATGAAAATCACCCAAAACATTCATATCTTTTAACCAAACTCAAAAGTTTGTGCAAATGAGGATGATGACTGTACTAGAAAGAGTTTACCAGAGAAGAAAATCACCTGCAAAACTCTTGGAACCATAGTTTCTGCAACCGAAATATATAATTGAGATCAAGGTCCTTGAGAGTTGTTGTCGTATCAACTTCTGATTCAGGTTTGCAGGTTGTGCGACCATGTGAAGAGCCTTTCAAGTCAAAACGCCTATGAATGACATAGTGAGTGCAGAATAGATTCTCCATTATAACAAAGCGTACCTGACTCATTAAATCCCAAATGCAGAAAGTATGAGATTGATTTCTTAAATCGTACGAATTCGAATCGTGTTCATGTTTGATGTCCGAAATCGTGTAACATGACAGTTACCTTTTTCTGCGCAGACCCAGCAAGTTGTTTCACACAATGAAGACCATAAAATTTGGTGACTAGAGTGTTCGGGAACGACCGGACATGATTATAATAGGCCGGGAGCATCCTTATGAGAACCTGCAACATTATTCATCAAGAATGAGTAGTGCACCTTTACAGTGCCTACTGCATAAAGATATGATCAGTGGACTTACTTTTCCTTCGGCCTTTTTCATCGTCTTTATCATGTATCTGTCATCGTTGGTCAAGTAAAAGAACATCCCACTTTTTCCGGGGGATGATAGTTCCCGGAGGGCATCGTTCCCGCATATCGAAAGCATGTAATCAGCTGCATCCACGTTGAACAATTTCCTAAGGGTCCTGGAAATGTAAAGACGATACATGTCAGGAAATACTATCATAATTTAACAAAACACTATGTGTCCAAATGGTTCTGTAATGAAGGAGATGGTCCTGTTTCTAACCTGAATACAAGTGGACAGTAATCCTTCCACTTGAAATCATAAGATTGATGCGGCGGAGTGTGCTTTGATCCTTCGGGTGGAAATTTAGTCCATACTTTTTCTTTCGGGTCGAAAGCCGATGGCTTTAGATCAAGGGATATAGCTGGACCAGGCCTTCCAACAGAGTGTCTGCAATGTAACCAGAGAACCAATGCATACATGATTAGTACATAAGCTCCATACAACGCAACATTAAGGTTTAAGATAAGATTCAATGTCAAACTAAATACAGAAAAGAAAATCACTACCTGATACCTAGCTGCAAATTGAGCATGAGACCATAATTCTTATGGCCTTTCGATATTGTTTGGCCTTGCTTCTTCACTGTCTTCTTAAACAGTGGCCTAAACATTCTTGTATTTGAATTTTCATGAAGAGCTCTCACTGCTCTATCTTCAACCCATCCTTCACTTGCAGCCAAAACATCATACACGTCTGAACTACGACTACGGCTATGTAGCTTTGACAATCTCCTTCCCTTCCCTTCTTTCTTTACAGCCATTGCAGACCAATTTGGTATCTTCTGTGATGGCAAGATTGACACTTTCTCACCAGGACATATAGTGCAGTCTTTCAAATCCTCTGATAACACTCGCTGAGGATCCCAATCGAGACTATCGGTTAGTGAACCAGACGGATAGTAAGTTCCGTTTTGATCCTTACCATCTCTACTCCACATGCCAACATAACAGCTACCATCAGGCCTTCTAAAAGTCCCATTTCCTTTAGGGAAACCATCTTCCCAAGAACCATCATATCTGTTCCCATTGCTCCAAACCATTGTTCCATTGCCATTCATCATTCCATTCTTCCATTCACCGACGTAATTGTTCCCGTTCTTCCAGAGGTACTTCCCGCGTCCGTCTTGCGATCCGCCGCACCATTCGCCTTCGTAGCGATCCCCGTTGGCATAACTGTGAATACCTTCTCCTTGTTTTAAGTTCATAACCCAAGACCCTTTGTAAGTATCTCCTGAAAAACCGGAATAAGTCCCATTGCCATCCATGTAACCACTCTTGAACTCGCCATCATAGGTAGCACCTGAAGACCAACAGAACTTGCCATTCCCCATCATTTTCCCTTTAAACCATTCACCAACGTACATGCATCCATCAGGCCATAAATACTTCCCATCCCCATGAGGCAAATTACCACTCCATTGGCCTATATAAAATTCACCTTTTGGAAGGGCCTTTTCGACATGGCAAACTTCACCGGGGATCGGTTCTTCGTCATCAACATGAGCTACTGACATAGCTGTAAATATGCTGATTGCTTTCTTCTTTGCAGCAACTTGTGATTTCTTTAGTATACTTTCCAAGGCCTTTCTAAAGCCAAGCTTTTTGCTCATTTGTTCATTCTATGTATTAAACAAGTAAAAATTTCTAGCTTTTTTTTTAATCAATTCCTATTGCCTTTCTTTAACCACTAATAAACCCAATGATAAAAGGGATTATATCCATCTCTGGTCTTTCTGGGTTTTTTTTTTTTTTTAAGAGATGGTCTTTCTGTATTTTTATTGCATCAATATGGGAACTTTCAGGAAGACCCTGAAGAGAGAAAATTGGAGGGAAATGAAATAGTCTAAATAAACAAAAAGCAAGACAAAAATCCGATCTGTTTGGGATAGTCTTGGTTTTAAGAAATGGGTATTTTTCAGATAATGAAGTAAAATTACAAAAGAAAAGGGAGCTGCTAGAATGAAGAGGATTAGGTTGCTTTTTTTCTCCCTTTTTTTTTTCTATTATTTCTGGGTAATTTTTCTTTCTCTCTCTCTTTGGTTTGTTTCGTTGGAATTGAGCCAAAAAAATTCGAATGATTTCCAGATTTAGCTCCTAAGTTTTCTAGGAAACCAAACAATTGGAGGGGGATAATAGATGGATACACGGTGAACTGATGAACATGATTGCCATTCTTAGACCGTCTGAAATTCACTAATTTTAGTTCGTCAAGTCGTAATCATGCTTCTCTCTTTATGTTGTCTAAATTGTAAATTAACTAATGATCTATCTTCTTTGCTATTACCCAAAACTCAAATTCTTTAGTTCGAATGCCAGAGAAAGAGAAATACATTCGAAAGTTAAAACGGTCAGTTCTGTTTCGAATATATACATTAAAAATAATCAACTGTGAGAGAGGTGAAAAATTTTAATTTGATTAAGAAAATTTAATATTTTTAATTTGATTCAATTTTAAGAAATTTGATTTAATTAATTCAATTCGTAATTTTATAAAATTGACTTAAAAATTCAAATAATAACTTTCATATATTTGTAGATAATATCATAGGTAATAATATTTAACTCGAATCCAAATAATAACATTCAGATTCAACACGATTAGAGCACAAGCCAATAGCAGCAACACTGCTTCTAATACAAAACAGCATGTCAACTTAAACAGCACGAGTAGTTCAATAGTTTGTTCTAAAAGCCAAGATATCACATAGCTTGATCTAATTCTGGGATTGCTCAAAAGCATGTTTTATGTAGAAATCGAATGCATAAAAAACCAGAGTATCTACAATGACGACGAGCATAGCCTTTTAATTATAGGCCACCCAGAGATCAGGGCTTCTGCCAAACACATTCCTCTGGCAGTAAGCATCCACGACGTTCTTAACCCGATAATCGAGCATGAATACGGTAAGGAATAGCATGAATACAATAAGGAAGAACACCCAAGACGCAACCAATGCGAATTTATACATCCTTTCCCTAGCATTTGGAGTGGACCTTTCGTCCCTGAGCCTGAAATGCATGTCCTGAAACCGATTAAGAACACTTCTTTCATTGTTGCAGGTTTCCAGATCATACCAATCATAAGCCTCAGATGGTATTCCAAGCTTGTATTGGGGGCTAGTATCGAATCTTTGATGAAGATTTCCTTTGGTGAATGGTGTTAAGACTTGTCCTTCCTCGGAAAATTTGTTGATCTGCCTTGGGAACTCTGACATTGTTGAGGGATTGAAATTGCAACCTATACCAACAGAAGTAGTCAACTAGCAAGTGAAAGATGCCAAGATAAACGTTCTTTAGAAACCCGAAAATTAAAGAGTAAATGCATAAACATGTTCTTAACGGTCTTGGATGCTGTTGTCTAGTCAGATTGCATTCCAGGCACTGCTTTCAGTGGTTTAACCTATGTTTCATATCGGATTGAGGAACATATTCTAGTATACAGAAGAACAACATCTTTTATAACCGAGAAGTTTATGGCTTTAATGAGTGTCGGAGCTAGACTGCAACTTCTAAGTTTGCAGGTTTGTATACGGGTGACAAATACAACTGTAAGCATAGTAACCATCCTACACATCTATGTTACTCACACTCGTGGCGTTGGATAGAGATATGTGCACGACATGGGTATGCTTATCCTTTTTTTTTTCTAAATTCTTTCCAATGGATTGTGCCCTCATACCATGTCTAAGTATCTCTCAGACATGGATCATATTCAAGATACGAACATCAAGCAAGAAACTAGATAAGCAACGGTCACGGCAGACTTAGTACAATAGGAAAATTTTCTTCCTTAAAACTGCTTAATACTATTACTATTACTATTACTGGATCTTTACTTTCTGGTCCAGTTGTCCTAGTAAATGTATTACTAGTACATAAATTGAACACGAATAACAAGGTTTGAATTTCACCTACTTACGTTTTCTGGCCGCAAATTCTTATCCATCATAGATTCATAATAACAATAAAACAAACACAAAAGCCCAACTGACTTGCTTACTCAGCACTTACCTTGTAGTCGCAGAGTAAATGCTTGCAAGGCAAGAAGAACTGATTTCATTCTCCTTTGGAATGATGGGTCAATTAGGTTGCCATCACTATCAAACTTAGCTGGAGACTCATATGCATTCAAGAAAAACTCTTTATTGATAAAATGAAGATCAAGACGAACCCCAATTTGGCGATAATGATACTGTGCCCGCGCACCACCTAAACTTCCAGCAGCACTTACGATGGCAGCAGCTTTATTAGCCCAAACATTTGGTGGTCGAGAAGCCCAGTCCATTGCATTCTTCAAGAGTGCTAGTAAAGAGCAGACAATAATATAGTTAATGGGATGAAATCCAAAATCAAGAGATCCGACTAAACTGTTCACGGTATTCGAAACCCGGCATTTACATTGTAGACCTTACACATGAGAAAGTACCTAACTCATTGAAGCGGCATTCTTTCAACTTGCAGTGCGAAGTGGTTTTGAACTACATGGAGACCTCAAAAGGCTTATGTTTAATCAAAATTCTTCACACCAAATAATTCGAATGAAACAAAACTAAATTTAGGGTCTCTATTCTACCATTTGAGTATTTAATGCTTTGAGTTGCTCTGCTTAAGATGCATCATAACAACACTGTAAAATACTAAAACATACATAATGCAAAAGCAAGAAATACTAAAACTTTCACTCTTTACATCTTCAGCTAAAGAGTTTTAAACTGTTACTCATCAGATTCATATACCATCAATCACCCCAACCTCACAATCCCTTCCACCTGGTCGAAATTAAGACCTTTTTTTTTTCTTTAAACAGAAACTTGAACTTAGATGAAATGTCAAATTGTTTTGATTTACAAACAGTGCATAGAAAAGTGGAGATGTGACTGATTACAGTGTATAGCGTAGTATAAATTACAGAAAATATAAAGAGATTATCCCTCAAAAAAACATTGTAGGCAAGAAAACCATTGTACGCAAAAAATAAAGTACAATGCAAGGAGAAAGCTTTGAGATAATACCAGTAACAGAGTAGTTGTACTCCGGGGAAGCAAAGAGGAAGCACTCAGCGGCCAAAATCCTCTGCCTGAAAGCCTCAACAACCGGCGGATACTTACCATCAATCTCGAGATCAGTGTTAAGCATAGGAAGAGATGAAATTTCAACGAAATCAATCTCAATCCCATCAATTTCCTGCTTAGTTATCTCCATAGCTGAAGCAAAACAAGACCCAAATCAATATTTCCCAGAAACAAAAACAAGAACATTCCTTTAGGCGTCAATTTGGATGTACATTACCGTAACGAATTAAGGCTCTGTTGTAAGAGCCTTTCCTCAAAGACCCACAAAGGGCAGCCACTTTCACTGGTTTTGCTGCTGTCATGGATTCCATCGCTCTCTATTTTTGAAACTTTCCACACCTCTGCTCGGCTTTACCGAGTGACTTAATTGTGTATGGCATGTACATATAATGATCGAGTTGAGCTGGGTAGTTGGTGAGATTTATGACTGTCCGATTGAAATAATTGAAGGTAGGTAGATGGTGAGGTTTATGACCGTCCGATTAAAATAATTGAAGGGGTGGCAGGAACCAGGGCATTGAAGAGATAGACCCCATCAGGGTACGATTGAACTAAAATGTGTATCACATGATAAAATTAGCGATAGCTGTATAAATATCATTACATATATGATACAATCAGTTACATAAATGATGAATCTATTATTATTTTTATTAATACGAGACGAATATAAAGTAATACTTATTTAAAAATAATTTTTATTCGTTTGACTTTGTACGTTTAGATCATGATATTTCTGGTGTTAGTATTTATGATCAATAACAACAATTTTTTTTATCACGGAAGTCAAATGTTTCAAATTTAAAAAAGGGTAAATTACATATTTACTAATATTTAAATAAATTTTTATTTTTATTGAAGTTTCACAAATAAAAAATTAATTTCTAACGAATTAATCATTAATATTATCAAATAAATTGAACACTCGAAGCGATGTAAAGTTGGCGTGATATTATTCTATCACGTTTAACTTCTAAAAACTTTTGACTGATCTTCTTTTTCTTGTTCAAGTCATGAATATCATAATACAATCACCATGAAATGTTACAGAGCTCACCATACAACAGTTAATAACAGGAAATCATCTTCACTAATGGATCCTAAACCTATACATGAATGAACTCCTTTAGTTATAACTTTCCCGGTTTCCATGCAACTTTCAAGGGAAGACCATCGCCTCAGGATTGTAGAAACGTGGGGTAAACAATTTGCAAACCAACCAAATCGATAAAACCTATAATTTAGCCTCTTATCTCTTTCCTCGTTGCAACTTGACCCCTGAATTTAGCTTTGATATGCAGCTTGACCCTAACTTTTTAAATATAATTTATTATATATTAAAATAAAATTTAAAATATGAATCTTAACATTTTTTTTATCATTTTTAATATATAAATAAAAATATAAATCGTTAATTGAAAATTATAAAAAGATAGTCAGAGACCGAATTATAACTAAAAGTCAAAATCAATGATCAAATTACATAGTATCAAAATCAAGAGCCAAAAGGTACATTAACCTTAAAATAAAAGGAGAGTAATTATTAGCAATCGAATTAATTATGACGTGAGTCCTAGAATGATGAAAACTAAGATTGAATTCATAAGTTTTAATATAATCTAATCTGTTTTTATAATATTATTAGTTGTTACTGATTTTAAAATTAATATTTAAGTTCACATAAAAATATAATTAGCTATATATAATTATAAATAAATTTGGATAAATTATGCAAATAACCCACTTTATTTTCGGTCTGATCGACTTTAGTCACAAATTTAAAAATCAAATATATTTAGCTCATTACATTATTGATCCATCTAGTTTAAATATCCATTATATCATTAACGAAAGTCTTACGCTATTTCTTCTTCTTGCTCTTCTCCCCGCTGTTTCTTCTTATTTGACTAATTTACGTACTAACCCAATTTCTTCAGGCAATGACATGAATATAATCAAAAGGGAAAAATTCTTAGCATTTGCAGTTGATTTCCCTATGTGCCCATTGAACGAATTATTAACAAGCTCAAGTAAACAAACATGAGGGAGGCCCCAAAATGTTGGAAAGGGATGAATTTAATTGATGAATTTAATATTTATATTAAATTTATAGTCTTTTTGACTATTGCAAATTAAATGATAATTTTTAATTTAGATATTAGTAGGATAATTATTCTTCTAATAAGTTAATTTAAAAATGTATTTATTATCTTTTTTAATTTTGAATATTAAAAGATAATTATATATTTTTGTATATTTCAAATTAAAAATAATATTTGTTTAAGTTTAAATAGTAAAAGGAATTTACCTTTTGACCTTTGCAAATTAAAAATATATTATTTAATTTGAATGTTAGTAGGATAAGTACTCTTTGAATATGTCAATTTAATAAGGTATTTATTATCTTTTTAACTTTGAATATTAAATATAATTATATACTTTTGTATATTTCAAATCAAAACAATATATATTTAAGTTTGAATGGTAAAAGGAGTTTTATCTCTTGAATATTTCAAATTAAAAGATATTGTTATCTATTTAATATTGACTATTAAAAGATATTTGGTTGGATTAAATCTCTCTTGAAAATCCCCTATAAATAGTTAGCAAACCTGTTAGGTTTTTCACATTTTAAAACAATTGAGAGTTCTAGAAGTTTTCTTCTCTTGAAAAATATTTTCTCTCCTTAGAAAATATTCTTCTCTTCCACTAGTTTTCCGGTGATAGTTGAAGGCAATGATCATTTGTGATCTCTGTAGATGTGTTACTGTATCTGATCATAAGTTGTTGTATCCTGGGAGACAGACGACCAATGAACTCGAGTACCAAAGGAGTGACTGAAAATTTGTCTTAAGGAACTGTGTAATGACAGGACTCAACTTATTATGATCTCAACTGATCAAAATTAAAAGGAGTATTTTTCTTTCTATTTGATTTTGATTTACTTTACGAAGTTTAACTTCTTTGTTTGGTTTTTCTCATGTTTGATTTCGTCTAAGATTGTTACTTCGGTTAACAATCTTAAGACAGTAAACTCGTTCTATCCCCTTAATTTTATAATGATATTTATTCATTATTACTTTTCTATATCATTCCCAGATTAATGCGCGATTTATCTAACAATCTTAAGACATGTTTGATTTTCTTATTTTTCATAGATGATATAGAATTCATGAGTTTAATCCTTGTTGTATACAAAGGAATTGCCAAAATTTAGGCAAAACAAATATTGTGCGAAAATCAAGAGAAATTTACGCCAAAGATAAGTTTTTCTTCAAATTTTGAATTTATCAATTTCAAATTCTTTGAGGAATATTTTGAATTTAATTTTAATGTGAGATATGACTCCATTAATTTATGTGTAGGAGTTTAAATGAATTCCAAAATCTTTGTAAGATCTTTATGGTTGCGCACTTTGTGGGGGAACACTTTGAATTTTGACGGTTAAAGCTTTGATTAACAACGGTGAAGTTAATGATCAAGAATTCAAGTTTTGATTGACAACGATGGAGTCAATCATGTATGTGAAATTTGAATATTTCCCTTTAATACGAAACGATTTAGAACTCTTTCTTCTACATTTCTTTAATCTGAAATGATTCAGATATCATGATAAAACAAAAATGAGATAACAAACAAATGTGTTTTGGGATTTATCATGTCGTCTTAACGTGTTTGCTAAAATTCTCAAAGTGGATAAATCTGTATAACAGTGATTGTCGTGAAATTAACTTTGGTTACTGATTTTGTTTCAGAATTTTGATTATGTTCGATAACAAAATCGAAAATAAAAAAGAATTAATTTTCTATTTATTAAAATATTTGATTTCGTATTTAAAATCAATTGAGATTTAATTTCTGTCATGTAACAAAATTATTTGATTTCTATAGCAATCGTTGGAAAGTAACAACCTTGTTACTGATTTGTTTAAGAATTTTAGTTCATGACTAAATTTTGTTGATAAAATAAATCACAATTTAATTTTGGTTTATTGTTGGAATTATTATTAATTCTAGTTTTGTGTGTTAAACGAATTTGTGATTGTCTGTGGTCATGAGCCACTATGAGAAACTTGTAAAATTCTATGAACATAATTTTAAGATGTGATAACATAAGATGTTATTTTATTTGGTCATGGTGAATTTGACCAAATGTGAGATGATCCTTTCATTATTAGAGAGGATGAGGTAAATGTTGTTACTGGATCTTGGAAGCATTACGACTTCCTATGTTGGAAATACATATTGAATGTATTATCAGATATACAATATAAGGTGTACAATTGAACCATAGTTACGAAATGGAAGATGCTGGTACTAATGAATTATTAGTGACCAAGTTCTTAAACTTCGTAATAATAGCATAGACGAGGGAGAATAAATGCTTTATTATCTCCATTGATGATAGTGTAATCATCATTTTTTGTCCTACCAGCACAGCAACACCATCCCTTATTGTTGTTGCCACCATCAACTGCACCATACTGCCCATGCCCTGCTCCACAACAAACCCACGCCAGCACCATGCCTCAATCATGCTCAGCAGGTCACCAAACAAAAAAACAATATTTTTTGTCATGTAATAGGGGTTATAAAAACCATAAATTATATTGTAAAAAGGGGTTTATTCCCTCCCATATTTTTCGAGATATATATAATAAAAAATGTATCATTTTTCCTCTTTTAATAGCAAAGCAGTGGCAAGGTAAGAAAAATAGGGGTTAAACATTACCTTTGGGTGTTCGGCCACCGTTGGTGGTGGCCAAGGCGTTGAATGGCGGTGTTGAGTTCTCTTTGTTTTCGGCAGAGGAGATAGAAGAGAAAGAGAGTGCTTCGACTTCATTCGGAGGTCGTTTGGGTGGTGTTCGGCTACCTCAGGTGGTGGTTAGAGCGAGGAGAGCCACCAACATATGGTGGTCGACCAGAGTGTTTTGGCCTTGGGCTTGGAAGTGAGCGGCCACCGCGTGATGGAGAGGGGAAGAGATGTGAGTGTTTAGTCTTAGGTTTTAGTAAATATAAGCTTCATATTAAAATTTTAGTGTTATTTACGCTTAAGCCATCTTACTTTATCCGCATATTTACATGTTAGCCCCTAATTTTGGGCTATTTTGGTTTTATTTCGAATAGAAAGGTTTATTTCTGATAATTTCCTTATTGTTTTGTTTAGAAATTGCTTAGGTTTGAACTGGGTAAATCATGTTTTAATCCCCTAGGTTTATCGTGAAATTATATTTTAGTCACCGAATTTTTTTATTTGATTTTCACATATTAATTTCATTATTTTACATTTTGATCACTTTTTTGCATTTTGTTCATGTCAATTTTGCTACTATTTTATTA